AGGTGACCTTCCTCAGCTGGCACCCGAACCTTCCCGCTTGGCCTCCAGAGCTCCGTCTGGCTTCTGTTCTCTGCTCTCAGTGGACACCCTGCCAGCCCCTGCAGAGTCCACCTGGCTGCCTCCTCCCAGGCCAAGGCTGCCATCCCCTGCCTGCCCGGGGCTCCCCCACCCCAATGTCTCTGTCTCCTCCGTCTTCCCCACCGTGCTCCTAGGCTATGTAACTTCTCCTAAAAAAGAAAATGAAAGCAAACCTTGCAGAAAACTGCTTCTGCCTCCAGTGCGGCCCAACCTCCTGTCCTCCAGGACAGAACTCATAGGAAGAGGCTCCTGCCCATAGCTGCCAACCCTCAGCCTTCCCGGTCCCTCACGGTCCCTGCAATCACTGCTGTGGTCAGGGATGGCCGTGCCTGGCCATGAGCAGGCTCCAGGACAGAGCCTCAGCACCCCGCAGGGCTGTTGCTCTTGCCCATCTCCAGTTCCTGCTGCCCCTGGCTGCTGCGCCCACAGCCTCAGGAGGGAGCCAGCCCCGTCTGCAGTGGGCTCGGCTCTGTGGGCTCAGCTGCTTTGCGATCCTCACCTCTAGCCCAGGCATCGCAGGCCTGCCCCGCACTCAGAGCTTCCTGTGCGCCCCTGACTTCCCCACTGGACCAGGGAGCCATCTCTGCTGGGCGCTTCACCAGGTGGCGCTCTCAGCTCCGTGCCGCCCTCAGGCTGCACACCCTCAGCCAGGGGGGCCAGCTGGCCGTCCATCTCCAGTGCTCCAGCTGGCGTCCCCACCACCGCCTCTTCATCCAACCTGTGTCTCCAGATCCTCCCCTGCTCTCGGCAGCTCCGTCCCCACCTGCTGCAGGGAGACTTCTGAAGCATAAGCGCCATTAGGATCCTGTCTGCCCAGAACTTTCCAGCAGCTTACCATCTCACTCAAGCGACACACAGGCCCTCCTCTCGCCCCATTCCCTGGTACTCTGCACCCCAGCCCTGATGCATTTCTCACCTCCTCCTGCAGCTCTGCCATTGGCCTGTTGCCTATTCCTCCAACGTTCCAGCCACAGTCCTGCCTCAGGGCCTTTGCACAGCTCTTTCCCTGGCTGAAACCATGCTCTGGACTCCTACAAGGCTCCCTTTCTTATGGCTTGAACTCTCTCAGTTCCCTGCTAGTGAGGCCTCTTCAAAGACCAGACAGAAAACAGTGTCTTGCCAACAACCCGCCACCCCACTTCCCTCCACCCTGCAGACATGCCTTTGGGTGCATCTCTCATGTCCCATACTCCTGGCCTAGGTCCTTGCTCTCTGCTCCCACAAACTGACCCATGCAGAGATCACTCTCCTAGAGACAGGCATTTTGTTTATTTTCTGGTCTATGAGTTTAGGATGTAAGCCTTAATTTTTTGAGATAAAGGAATAAATAGTACAAAATCAATAATTTTTGCCGATTGAAGAAAAAGAACAGTGGATGAAAGGAAAACCAGAACCACTAAGAGCCAGAACTCTGCCCCAGGGCCACAGGCTGCGGTGTTTGCACGTAAGACCATGGGGACTCCAGGGCCGCGCGGAACTGGGGCTCCCTCTGCCCAGGAGGACAGAGCCTGTCCTGGATACGGTGGGAGCTCAGAGGCTGGCAAGGCTGCCCCCAGCCTGGGAGGCAGCCCTGGACCAAGGACGCGAGTCCTGCTCAGCAGGCGCTCAGGCCTGCAGGTAGCCAGCTGCCCCAGCGACCTCGGTCGGGGGAGGAGGACAGGAAGGATGTCTGCTGTCACTGCCTGTGAGCAGCAGAGGCAGAGCCGGCCTCCGTCCACCCACACAGTGCTACCCTGCGCAGGAATAGAGACATGTTCTTTCCAGTGTTTTAATACTCTTGCCTTTCATTAAAATTGAAAATATGATATACAGACATCCTAGAACACTAACCAAATAATATGAAATGAGTGTAAAGACTCAAGGCTCAAAAATATACCTATCATTTGTTTGTAGGAAGGGAAATGGAAAGAGAATAGGCAGGAATAAGGAGGGGTGGAGGGAGGGAGGAGGAGGAGGAAGGAGGGAGGAGGAGGGAGGGAGGAGGAGGGAATGGGGGGGAGAGGGCAGGCCCATGTGTTAGAAGTACTCAGATGTCCCTGGAAGGGGTTGGCAATGTGAAATAAATTTTCTTCCACATCTGAGACTGGGGAAGGGGCATTCTTGGTTGTTAGGGTCTGTAAACAAGTCAGGATGGCGCCTGGCATTTTGCCAGAGGGAGTGGTTTGTGAAGTAACGCCAGCGAGCCATTAAGTGTGGAGACTCCTTATTGGTTGACTGCTGTATCTAGTTTATGTTAATTAAGATAAGCTGTGGGTAACGTATAAATACCCCTCCTGTCCTACAATAAACGGCTCCCACTCCTGCTGTATCAATCTACACAAGTTCCTCGTCACCCCCCGGTTATTCTGCTGCAGCCGGACTGCGGCACTTGGTCACTGTCCACACGTGAGAGCTCCTGGCATGTATTTTTAGGTGTGAGCATCTTGCTCTGGAGACTTGGTCTTGACTTTTCCAAAGCCATTTCTGAGACAAAGGGGGAGTCTGAGGACAGTTCCCTGTCACGTGGCGTACCTAGAGGAAAGGCCAGTGCCCTCCAGCCACCCACTGCAGCACCAAATGGTCTCCAGCCACACTGTGCACACGTCTCCTACCAGCCAACCTCAACAGTGTCCTCGCACTTGAGGTCTCACCTCTCCCAGGCCAGCCGCGGCCCGGCAGAGTCCCTGAGGCCACCCTAGGGATGCTTTGGGGCTGCGAGGGGCAGGCAGGAAGCTGGCAGTGGTGCTAATCAGGGTGGTACCAGGAGTGCACAGGACTGGGCAGCGGGCAGAGAGCCTGGGCACCTGGCCGAATATGGGTGCATGGGGTCACCACATAAGTCCCACCTGGAAGGACAACTAGGTGGACATGTTTAGAAAGGGGTTTCAAAAGCAGATCGTAACACGCGGGTGCGTGTGTCACAGTGGTAGGGAACCTGAGCTGTGGCTGGCAGGGTCAAATGGATGGGGCCACATGCCCAGGGGTCTGTCCAGAGGTGCTGTGGGGATGAAGCAGAACACAGCCGGCACCTTCCACTCTGCTGGGCGGAAGCCCAGTCCTGGGTGTGCTTCCTTGGGGTCCTGAGCCACAGGCTTCAGCCAGCACCAAGTGGGCATCATTGAAACACCAACCTGAGAGGCGCGGTGGAGCACGCCTGTAGTCCCTGCCACTCGGGAGGCGGAAGCAGGAGGAGGGAGGCTAGCCGGGGCAGCACAGCCAGAGCCTGCATCAGGCTGAAACGGAAAGGGCTGTGGATGCGGCCTGGTGGCAAAGCGTCCCAGGATTCAGTCCCTAACAAACACCAAACCAAACCAAATGGACAAAAAGTGAACCCAGCTCCCGCTCCGGGAGCCTCTGCCCCCTGCTGCAGGTGTGCGTCCAGCACGTCCAGCTTGTCCAGCTTTCCAGACCTCCCTCTGCCTCTGAGATGCCATCGGGCCTTGTGTGGGATCGTCCTTCAGAGCCACCTCCCCCACTCCCCCGGCCTCCACACTTGAGCCACAGTCTGTTCCTGCCCGAGGAAGTCCCAGCCACGGCCCTGCTTGGGACCCTGGTTGTGTCCAGTGCCATTCTCTCAGGGCACCTGCTCCCCTGCCTCCGCCTCCACCCTGAGAATGGCATGGCCTGTGCTTCTGCCCGCCTTGTTCAGGAGGGCCTGGGGTCCACCAGCCCACACAGCCGCGGTCAAGCCACCTCCCAAACGGCTTCTCCACGGTACAGTCCCTCTGTGTCCAATGCCAACAAGCCGCAGAGAACACAGGACACGCACCTGTCCCCAAGCACAGCCTACGTGGAGCACGGCCGGGCACCGTGCTGCCTGCTCCGTGGGCTCGTCTGCCATGAGCAGAGGGCTGGAGCGTCCAGGCGGCAGGTGCCCGGCCGTGCTCCACGTCTGAGAGGATGGAAGCAAGACAGGTGGCCGAGAGCGAGGGGAGGGCCCAGGAGGCACCTGCTAGGGCAAACCAGGGGAGAGCCCGGGGTGGCCGGGATCCATCTACAGGAGCATCACAGCAGAGAGGCTGTTATTCTAATAACCGAGTCTTCTACAATGGGAAGACACAGACCATTTTAAGAGAACAACGTCACCAAACGTCCCACTCTGGCAACCTCGTGTTAATGCCGGTCATGATATTCAGAAGCTAGGTTGTGGACACTGGCCCCACAGTAAGGGAGCCTCAGTTCTATGCCTCGAACAGTGTGACGTCTAACACTTGAAAATCAACCGAGGACACTGGGTCCAACAGATTGTCCTTCTGCAAGTGTTGGTAAGGGTGCCTCTTCTCAGGTCCACCCACTCGTAATCACCAGAGCTGGCACAGGCTGGCGCAGCTGGGGGTCAGCCTCAGAGAGCCAGGGCAGACAAGGTCTGCGGCCCTCAGGCCCACGCTGGCCTCCGGGAGATGGGGTCACCACAGTGAGGCCTCAGGATGGGTGTCTGGGAGACGGAGAGCTGCCAAGGGCAAGCCCCCTAGAGAAAGCACACTCTGGGTCAAAGCTGGCTTGGACTCTGGGCAAATCCATAGAGATGCGTCTCCTTGGGTCCAAAGGGACAATGCCACCTCATGGGGATAGAGAGGAGGGACATCAGGACCAGGACACTGGAGTGGGAGGGCAGCCTCCTGAAGCCCAGGAGGACCCCCCGGGTGGGGGTGAAACCCGGAAGATAGCAGCAGGCTTCTGGACCACCCGCTCTGCCTGATCCGGTTTGTCTCAGAGCTAGCTGGACTACACACAATGCTCCATGGCGTGAAGATGCCTGGAAAACTCAGAGCTGACGTCTGAATTCAACTTGCATATTTAATCACCCCCAAATGACATGGAATTGAAGAATCTAAGCACAGAAACGTCAAGAGCAAAATGGCAGACAATAACTTCTGCATCAAGCCCCACTTGCCATCAGCTGATGCTCGTCACACCCTGTGAAGTCACGAGTCTGCACCTACCGCACTCTGTGACTGGGAACAACTGCATGCGCTGGGCCAACGTCCGGGCGCGGCTGGTACACACCTGGTCCTCCGCTAGTGCCTCCAGCGACCTTCCCTGCACCTGAGAAGAGAAGAAACGGTTAGTGAACCTCTTCCTTAGGACTTGGGGGGAGTGACGGCCCCCAGGTCTCATTGGTCCAGAAGAGGCTCCCCCATCGGCAGTGCTGTTTTACCCACGGCGCAGGCCTGCAGCCTCCCCACTGGGCTTGCCAGAGGTGAGGTGCCTTTGAATACAGGTGCATTCTTTAACAGAAAAGAAACCAGAGCAGGTGCATGCAGGTTGGAGAGGGTCTCTCTCTGACCTCTTTGCAAGGCCCACCACCAAGGATGTGTGGGTGGAGAGCAGTGGGGAGCCCAGGACACAGCAGCGTGTCGGGAAGACTTCCCGGTGCAGGTCTCCCCAAGCTCCACAGCACCTGCAGTTACCAACCAGCAAGGTCACCTCGCCCCCGCAGGCTGGCCAGGACCAGGTCCATAGCCGGAGTTACGTGTAAGTGAAGAGTCTGGAGTGAGAGGGTTTCTGCCACGCGGTTCTTTGGTTCACGTGGACAACTGGATTGCCCAAGGGAGACAGCTCTCCCCTGGGAACATTGATCCAGGTTTCCAAACCACTAAGCACGTTCACTCCAGCTTTAGCAGCTCTGTAGGAGAAAAAATGGAGCCCAAATTCCTCCAGGCGTCCAGCTTTGTGCAGGCTCCTTGGCCCCTGGAGGGCTGTCCTTCCTCAGGCCCTCAGTCCTGGCAGAAGTCTCATTTGCCACCCTGATTGTGTGGATGGTATCAAGGTGCTCTGTGAAGACGTCGAGATGAATCCTTGACCATTCTCTGCTCACTGCAGAGTTGCTCAGGGGGTTTCTTGCAGGGCACTGAACAGGTGACACTTACATTTTCTCCCAAGTTGTCTGTCCATGACCGCGGAGCTGGTTGTCACTGGCCTCTTGTCCAGGTACGTATAAACGGGGTGACCTAAGTCTCCCTGAGGTGTAAAGGTTCACAGTGCAGGTTGTATGTAAGCAATACGACAAAAATTGAATTTAACCCCAAAGAATCTTCACACTAAGAACAGACCAACAGAAACGGCCCCACTGCAGGAGGAGTCGTGGCCCTCTGCCCGCCTGGCCACTGAAGGTGTCCCTGGTCTCCTGTCCCCAAGGAGGGGCCGAGGCACACTCCACTATACATCTCAGGGCTGGCCTAGGTTCATCTTGGCATCTTCTTCCTCTGCAGGTGGATCTGTTCCTCAGGCCTGCCGGAGCTCTGACTCGGCTCCCCGTGCTTGTGAGCACAGCCTCAGCCTTGGAGAACACACAGGTGCCCTAGGAGGTGATTCAAGGGCCCAGCCAGCATGCGTCAGCCTCCTAATCTTCCTGAAAACGCAACGCTGGGTTTACTGAAGCTGGAAAGGACAGAACTTCTCAAGCACAGGGTGCCGCCCTCATTTGTGAAGCAGGGACAGTGGAGTCAGTAGTTCAGGGCTCCTCTGGCCTCTGGAATGAGATTCTGCCCTCAGGAAGTTGGGGGACGTGGTTGTTAACATTTATGTACATTTCTGGTGAATCACTATCCACTTCAGGTTGTCTTTTGAACAGATAAGACTAGATATTTCTGCCAGGCATTGTCACTTTTAAGCAGACAGGCGCACTGACCCTTCATGGAAATATAACAGCAAGGTGCTTCCAAGTTCCGCAGCCAGGAGCCCTGGGTCAGCCTCCTGGAGACTTGAGCAGAGCAGTGCCCATGTCCCAGGCTGGACTGAGCAGCTCCCTGGCAGGGCAAGCAGATGGCATGGGGCTTATTCACTCGCTTCTGCACAAACTTTCCAAAGAAGGCTCCATGTTACCTCAGGACACACCACTGTCCTGTTGGCTGACACGCCAGGGTCCCTCTCTGTAGGAAAGGAAGGTCTACTGAAAATGGCCACGACAGAAGCCAGCTGCACAAGCTCTGGACATGTGTGTGGCACCTGGTCCTCAGCAGCTTGGTGAGGGCAGTGAGCGCAGAGAAGCTGAGCCACCCACACAAGGTCACTGTCTGTGTGTGAACAGGATCCGCCCTCCAACATCCAGACTTCTGACCACATGCTACCAACCACCAAGCTCAACCCTCGATGCAACTAAAGTTAGCTTAAAACAACAACAACAACAACAGTGTGTGCCTAGTCTGAGCAAGATTCTCTGGAAGAGCCGCTCACGTTTCCTGTTCTTGGGACCGTCTGTAGCAGGGTCTGTCCAGCACTGCTGCCCTGAGCGTGGCTTAGGAGGAGGGCAGTGCCCACCACATGTACCCGGGGGCAAGGGGTGGCAGCAAAGGAGGATGGCCATGCACCTCATGGACATTCCATGCTGACCAGCTGGGGACACTGCATCCTAACCCCTAAGGGACACTGCAATGTCGGGGTGGGATACATAATTAAATTAAGTCCGTTTCTGTTACCACACTTAACACAGCCCGAACATGTGCTATCAGACACACGATTCTGCAGCTCTCCTGTGTTCTGAGTGAGCTGTGTTCTGGTTTCATACAAATGTGCAGGTTGAAGCCACTCTTGCTGGACAACAGTCAACCCATTTGAGTCAGTCTCAGGAACATCTAGTGCATGATCTTAAAGTTGGTGGCTTCTTGACTGGCATCCCTATAGTAATACAAGTTATTTTCCCTAAGATGATTACACTGTTACTGCCTTTCTGCCCTCAGTGAGGACCACCGGCTTCTTGTTAATTTGCTTTTCTGCAGGCTTCTATGGCTCAGGGTGACAGAGGCAGCACAAGCTCCTGCCCTGAGGGAGCCTAGGATCTAAGGCTGGGATCTGATGGACGATCCCCCTCTAGAGGAAGGCAGTGGGTGGGCCTGCCAGGCTGCGCACACCCCTGCAGGTGTCCCAGCCTCCCTGCTGCTGGCCTGGGCACTCACCTGTCCACTTATCTTCCACGTCTCTTCCTGCTTATATTATTTTCCCCAAATTTCAACTATGGTGGTGTCGTAGTGGTTTATACTCTTCATTTTAAAAAATGCTCTATTTGCTGATCAGGGTGCTTTTGAAGGCTAGTTCCACACAGTGAGATAATTCTCACGCGTGCTATGAGAAGCTGGGCTTTGGGAAGGAAATGCCAAAACACCCTCCAGTACTGAACCCAGCACCAGCGTCCCCACCCTGCTTTTGACAACAGGGCCTTGTGCAGCCTTCTCAGTGCTGTCCAAGGTGATGGACAAAGAGGGCCCCAGCTGCAGCTTCAGTTCACTGTCTGCAGCACGGCAGGGCCCTCCTGTGGCTGCTGTGTGAGACCATAAACAGGGCTGAGCCCTGGGCCCACTGCCTTGGGAGCCGGGTAGACTCGGGGGCGGGGGGCAAGGGAGCACAGAAGGCAATCTGCTCCCTGGGTCAGATTTCGGACTCAAGTTCCAGAAGGAGTCCAGGCGTCTGTGTCCCGAGACATGGACCTTGGCGATTTACTACCATGAGCTGAGCTGTGCAGAGTTCTAGGAGGTGCCACCCAAGCAGAAGTGGTGCCGGGCGAGGAGTCTGGGTTTCTGGTGTGGCCTCGCCCTTTGACGGCTGAACCCAGCTGCACTGTGAGCCTCGGGAGGTCTCCCGCTAGCGGGCGGAGCACACACCCACATTTATAGAGATCCAATCAGGGCACAGCGGAGACAGACAGGCCGGGGTTTTTTACCTGGCTTCTGCTCCAGGCTGACCCCTGACCTTCACCTACTTTCAACTTTTTAAAGGTTTTCGTGAAAGTCTGAGAGCCACTGGACTACTTGGCCTCTGTTTCCTGCCCAGAGACGAGGGTGCCGTGTGCCTCAGGACACATGGGAAAGGGCGAGAACAGTCACAGAGAATCCGTGTGTACAATATGAGGACTTAAATTTAGGGAAATGCAATGAGGACGTGAGGCAAAGCTACTACTGAAGAAAGGAGCCACTGACTGGGCGTCTCACAACTGTGCAGACCAAGTAGCGGAACACAAGCCAAGGACAGAGCTCCTCCTCAGATGGAGAGGTGGCTGTCCTCAGACCTGGATGCACCCAAGAAGACCTGGCGAGCCTCAAGCCACACTGGACCCACCTGCAGGGGCCGGTTTAACTGGTCAGGGTGATGTCCAGGCATCAGGAGTTTTCAAAACCTCCCCAGGTAATCCTAATGCACAGCCAGGGCTGAGAGCCCTGGCTGAAGAAGTGCTTAAGCCCTGCACAGGTCCCCGGCTTGAGCCAGCACTCTGCCGCTCTTGCTGCAAGAACCACCACGTCTCCTGCCCTGAGGGCGAGAGGAGAAGCCCACCTGCGGGACTCTGGCACTTGGTGCCTGGATGTTCTGGTGGCGGCTCCGTGGGCCGGGAGTTCTGCTTATGGGAGAACTCAGAGCTGTGGACGAGGCCGAGCAGCCCTGGGGCCAGAGAATGGCAAAACCAGAAGAGAAGAGTCATGTTCTGGGTTTTACCTGCAAAGCCCTGGCAAGCCCTTCTGTCTCCTGACAACGACACCAGTGATCTGTCATTTGAACCTAAATCCCTTTATAATATTAGATGGTGCGCCCAGGGCTCAGGACAGTGAGACATCGAGGGGCATGATTCTACCTAAGTGTTGACACCAGAAGTCTCTGTGCCCTGATTCTGAATCCTTCAGGCATCCTCTCCCTGCACAGCTGGAGCTGGTGACACTTGGGCTGAGAGCAGGAGGTGGGCCAGTGAAGATGGCAGCCCTTATCCTGGAGAAGCCCCTCACCCACAGGAAATGGGGAGGAGAGGGAAAGTGCTTGCTGGGTGTACAAGAGGAAGCCAGAAGGGCCAGGTGGGCTATCGCCTTGCCCTTGGAGCCCTCGTCTGTTATCTGGGTGGCTTTGTGCACTGCTGTGGGGATGCTATGGCTGCATGTGGGCAGCAGAATCCAGGTGGATGGCCACTGCTGAGTGGGCTCCCTGACCTGCATGCTCTGTCATCTCTGGCTGAAAGGTTTGCAGACCACCTAAAATCACAGTGCAGTTGTAATTCCTCCCCAAATGTAAACCTGGGGCTCTAAGAGCGCAGAGGAGGTGCTGGACACGGGGCTTGTGCAGGCTGGCCA